AAGAAGAAGCAAAATACTGCTGAATGTAATTTTAAAATGGCTGGAACAGTACATAGATCGGTAACTGCTGGAAGTTCAAGCAATATTTTGAAGAGGCTGTGGCACCAGAGATATCATTGCTGATGTCAGATGGATCCTGGCTGAAAGTAAAGAATGCCAGAAGAATGTCTATTTGTGCTTTATTGATTGTGCAAAGGCATTTGACTGTGTGGATCAAAACAAGTTGTGGCTGGCATTGAGAAGAACAGGAATCCCAGAGCACTTAATTGTGCACATGTGAAATCCAGACCTACGCCAGAAGAGTGCTGTGTGACCAGAGCAAGGGAAAACTACTTGCTTTAAAATTGAGAGGGGAGTGTCTCAGGGTTGTATTCTTTCTCCATAACTATTCAATCAGTATGTGGAACAAATTATTCAACAAGCTGCATTCTGTGAAGAAGAAGCAGCAATATCAGAACAAAGATTTAACAGAGAGTTCTAGTGGCATTTTTGCTGTGTGGTGCCATTAAGTGGACTAGGACTCACAGAGACCTTATTAATAACAGATCTGAACCTATCCTGTGCCATTTTCATGATCTCTCCACCTCAAGCCCATTGTGGTAGTCACCGTCTCTTGAGGGTCTTCCTCTCTTTCACTGACCCCTCTACCTTTCCTAATATGATGTCTCTTTCTAAAGATTGGTTCTTCCTGAAAATATGTCCACAGTGAGACAAAGTTTCACCATCTATTTCTAAGGAATCCTCTGATTGCACTTCTCTCAAGATGAGTCCCCCCCTTTTTACAGTCTATATTATATTCATTACTCTTAGCCAACGTCACAGTTCAAAGGCATTCAGTTTTCCCCCTTCTGTCTTCCTTATTTATTGTCCAACCTTCAGACTCATAGGAAACAATTAAAAACATCATGGGTAGGGTCAGGTGCATCTTAGCCTTTAAATTGACATTCTTGCTTTTTAGTACTTTAAGAGGTCTTTATTTTTAAGGTTTTAAAAAAATTTTATTATATTTTGTGTGTGTACCATTGCCCTTCCTTCTCCAGTAGAGCATCTGGTGGATTAGAACTATGCACCTCTAGGATTGCAGTGCAGCTTCTTGCCACTAGGCCACCAGAGCTCCCTTAGAACATTAAGAGGTCTTTCAAAGCAAATTTCCCCAATGCAACTAGTGTTTTGATTTCTTTTTCATTTTACCTTTCAATTTGTTGATTGATGCTACCATGGGTGTTGCTTGTGGGTCCAAGTAAAATAAAATCGACAACTTTAATCTTCTTTTTTCTAGCATAGTGTGGCCTCTTGGTCCAGTGGTGAAGATTTTTGTTTTCTTTCTTTCTTTTTTTTTTTGTAGGTAGTTGATGTTTTATTTCATATTTTTAAAATAAAGAGCCCATTCACATTCAGCTTTCAGTGGAAGACATTAACACTGCTGTGTCTGCCTTTCCCAAGGAAAACACCACGAGGAGCAGCTGCCTTCTCATTCTTCCCAAGGACAGGCTTTGTGGGGGAATCAAACACCAAGAGAACTTATATTTCAGCTAGTCTAATTTTTTTTCCCTCTCTCAAACACACCGCTTTTAATTTTGGTTAGTCTTTCATATAATTCTAACTCTGTAGTAGTAAACAAAAATAGAAGCACAAAACATTCAGAAAATGTTATCAGTCAGTAGTTCTGAACTGTCACAGTAGTCA